CAATTATGCTGAGTCAGGCTTGATTTTTAATAATCTTTTCCTGTTAAATAAATAAATCAAATCAAATCAATGTCATGCTTTTAAATCCTTTCTTTTCAGAATTTAACCATTCATTTGGGGGTCTTTATAAAGTGGGACTACAAATCTTTGGTCTGAATTCCTCTATATTCTAACTTTATCAATTATTCTGACGTGTGTTTGAAAGCAGCTGGTTTTGATGCTGTGCCTTTAAGGCTCTTCAAGCCCCGCCCCYCTCCSGCTTCCAGACAGGTCCACTCTGTCTAGAGAAAGGGGGGATTTTCTAGAGGATTAAATGACGTCAACAACAGAAGACTTGTCCATCCAGCCTACATGGTGGAGGAGAATGAARACAATTGTAGTTGGTAAGTGCAGACCTTATTTGGTTTAAAAAAACATCTTAAAACTGAACGGGCTGAAAAGACTGAGYGACATTCGTCTTAGTGGTTAGCAATTAGCTGTTAGCTTCCTCCAGTTTTTACTCRTTTAGCGTTAGCTTCCACTTTTTTATGTTTAGCATTACAGTTATAAAACCAGCTAGCAATTATGAGTTAGCAACATAAACTACTACTATTTTTTTGCTGGAATAAATATTACTCATGTAATTATGCAACACGATAGAAACAAAGTGATGATGACTACCGGTACATATGGCTGAACTTGAAGCCCTTTGGATTAAGTCGTCTTTGATATCTTGGTTTCTTTAAAAAAGAAAAACAAGAACATTAAAAAAAGAGTAATAAAAGACTCCCCTTCTATTCAGGTTTTATGTTTCCTGTCAGATCGATGGACAACCTCATAACCTTCATCAGTAGGACAGAACGTGGGGCTCATAGCTCGTAGTGTCTGAAGAGGCTCAGATGCAGCGTTCAGCACTAACTGCTGAGTCATCATCCAGCAGCCTGTATGTGTCTCTGAAGGTCTGCACAGTCATTGTCTGAACAGTGATTGCCCCCCCTACCCACCCCTAAAAAATGGCCGTACATTCTTGGAAACCATCCCGATGGTGTTGTTCACTGCTTCTCGTGTTACTTTGTGAATAAACAGAAAATGAGTGAGTCACTTTGGCAAGGAGGAAGAAGAGGGCGAGGAGTGGCTTCTTCCTGTGTCCCCCGTGTAATATTTGTCTCCTCTTCCTTACTTACGTACAACTCCCTCTCTTCTTTTGTGGGCCTCTACCTCCCCCCGCCTTCGGTTTCTCAACAATGAAAACATTGAAGGCCTAAATCTTTCAGCACGGACTGAGGCTCTGTCTGCTCCAGCAGATTCCACATGAATACAGGGAGACGTTTTAATCGTTTGAGTTTGGACGGAGTGTGTGCGTGCTATAGGGTGTGTGTCATATGATAGTTTGATACAGAATGACATCATAGACCAACTGATGAGCTTGTCCTTTGACAATGAAGAGCCCAACAGCGCCATGCAGTGGGTATGTGGAGTCATTACAACATTCATTGATTATCTCCAATAATACTTTTAGAAGCACAACAAACACATCACGTATACTGTGAAGAAAATAAATTTAAATCATTGTTGGGTACTTTATGGGTCAGTGTATCTTTTGGTCATTGGATTTTTATTTTAGAAACGGGTATTAAAAAACAAGAATTGAGTGGATATTTGATTTTTGTTTTAAAATACTGAAATTTTGAGTTTCCTTTTCTGTTTCAGATAGCAACAAAGAAAATTACTTTAAGACATAAAGGAAAAAAGGCTTGGTTTTTTTTGTATTCTACATCTATCTATTCCCCCCACCAGAAGGGGAGCTCGCCTGGCAGCTCTGCATAATTAAACATTAATTTCTGTAAATAAAAGGCTGAAACACAGAGACATATGTCCATAAATGAGTTGTATGATGACTGTTGCTCTGTGACCAAAGGCTGCAGAGATACTTCATGTGGTTTTTGACCAAATAAGTCTCTTTTACTGNACAGTAAGTTGGTACGACCTGTCATGGATTATGAACAAACGAGCCTGTTTTTTGTTTCTGTCTTAAAGTAATTTTCTTTTTTGCTATCTGAAACAGAAAATGAAACTCAAATCATTTAAAAAATTTTGCTCATCCCCTTTTGACACTAAGAATGAGAAACGCTTTGTGTTTGAATTTTAATTTCAGTATTTTGAAACAAAAATCAAATATCCACTCAATTCTTGTTTTTTAATACCCGTTTCTAAAACGAAAAACCAATGACCAAAAGATACACTGACCTTTATGCAGTGTATCTTAGAAAATGACCATCTGATTTACACGTTGGAGCAGTGATCTTTTCTGAGGTACTCCGGTTTCCTCGTACAGAACAAAAGCATGCATCTCTTAGCTTAATTGGTAACCATAATTTGTCCCCATTGACCCCTTGTTTGCCAGAGTTGGTCCATGCATGGGCCAGCACAACATAAAACAAACCACAAGTGGCCCAGTTGTGGCATTGACAGCTTTGGGTCACAAAGCACTGTGCCGTCTTAAAAAAATCATGTGTGTGTCTTCTTGAATGGGTGTTCTTAAATGTAATTTCATTGTGCTCTGTACAATGACAATAAAGGTATCAATCAATCAACCAACCAACCAACCAACCAACCAACCAACCAACCAACCAACCAACCAACCAACCAACCAATCAACCAACCAATCAATCAATCAATCAATCAATCAATCAACCAACCAACCAACCAACCAACCAACCAACCAACCAACCAACCAACCAACCAACCAGCCAACCAATCAACCAATCAATCAATCAATCAATCAATCAAAAATAGTGCCATCATTGCCAGACCTGGCCCACATTCAGTTGACACACCACTTGCCATGCCAGCAGGTCCAGCTTGACACCAGGTCTGGCCCACACCTGTCTATGGGTGGGTGTGTTTGTCTCTTGTCTCTTTGTGTCCCTGTGATAGACCACCTGTCCAGAGTTGACCCCGCCTTTTGCCGAGGTGCCCCAGCTGCCCCACTACTTGGAAAAGAGAACCGTACGGTGTCTTGCATAAGGCAAAAATAACACAATGCTACTTAAATAAAAGTAATCTGTGTCGGACGGCACGTCAGAATGCCAGGAAGCCTTCCTGGTAACTCGTGTGCTCAGCCCTCCAGGGTCTCAGAACCATGTAGGAGGTCGGTTGCCCACCCTGTATGGTGGGTTTAGGATGAAACTGGAATGCAAACCACCTCTCGTCCGCAGCCAGATCAACCTTGAATGTGACAGGAGCTGTAATTTTATCATCAATGAAAGAGGGCGTCAATCAGACGGGAATTCAACTGATGCAGGACATCAACTCAGGCACGTCTTTTTTATTTTTTGTAAGGTTCTTTGTTTGGTTTGTGGTTCTTTACCCACCTGTTTTATATTAATAATCACTGTTTGACATTCAGKAATCACCTCTCTACGAACGTATACGTCCTGTTTTGCCTCTTTTTTTTCCTGGTACTTCATGCAGTATATTTTAGAAAATTTCCATCTTTTTTTTTCTTCTTCTGAGTTGTGGTCCTCTTGTTTCACACTGTGGTTCTTAATACCTACAGTTTAAATATTTCGTTTTTCATCATCYACCCGCATTATTTTGGGATCTTGTTTCAGTTTTCCTCGACTGAAACAAGGAAGCTAAAATAAAGTTTCATCCTAATGTGGATCTTTTTATATATCTTGTGATTGAAATTTTTAATTTTATTTCCTGAATCTGACCAAACAGCAACACCAAACAGGTGAAGCTGACCGAAAACGAACATGTGCTGCCCTCTTGTGGTTTGAGAAGCTTATTACACATTTGTTCACATTTCTTTCCTTTTGTCTCATGACCAAAACAAATTTTCCATTCAAACTAAATGAAACACGTTGTTGAGTCGCCACAAACCCCCTTGTATTTGTTTTTTTACCCAGAAGGTATTCTGCTCTCGAAGGCAAACACATGACTACAGATCGGCTCACGCCACAGTAATGTACTCCAGAATTCATTAATTATTCACTTTCTAACTTTCCTCCCTGTTAGAAACAAATAACTCTAACAAAATACATTTCAAACATCAGATTTTTGGTCTGTAATTAAAACAGTGCGTTAAAAGAACAAACTTTCAACCTGAGTGACACATTAAAGTTATTTTATTGTGAAAGAGTTTTAATAGTGAGCATTAGTGCAAATGGACTCATCAGCCAACCTTTTATACTTTTATAATCTAATTTATATGATATTGTTTTGTGCTGCTTTAATCTCGGGCTGCTTGTGTTTTTGAGGCAGTTCATCCAAATCACAGAAAACATATTTCATTTTCCGATCATTTAGCTTTTTCATCTTTTTTTCTTCCATTTTTCCTGAGTAGTTAGAGGCATTTTTATAAAGAAAAAAAAAGGACATAAAGCTGCCGAATATTTCAAAAATAAAATTCACAACTAAAGTGGGACTTATCTCAGTTCTAATACTGGATATTTTATGACACAAAAAGAAAAGAAAAAAGCATCTGAAATGTCATTTCATGACCAAATCTAAAATAGAAAACAGGCCTTATGTCATCGAGATGAGCCGACCTTTCTGTGAGTCTTTGGGTCTTTCAGTCATGCTGCTGGTGATGACAAATTCWTATTTATTTAAGATCATTTAACTTGAAGAACGTAGTTTGTTTGGATAATGGAAGAAAAAACTTCTTTATCCAACATTTCTGACATGATTCTTTGAGCTCACAGTTGGTTTGCACCAGCAGAATTCAAACAAAAATCAAAATATTTTCAACTGATTCACTGTTTTGCATTCAGGGCAGGAATTTTCTTCACATCTATCGGCCGTACAGCACCGTGATAATTTTTTTCTTAAACATTTATAGTAAAATAAATCATTTTGAGGTACATGTCATGCAATTGTTTTTCAGAATAAACACTTCTCCAACCTAATATAAAAAAACGTGTGTCATCTACGTATATAAAAATATAAACTCCAGGATTCCAGTTATTGCTTCTTGAAAGTCCTCTTTGCGTCCACGCCCTCATAGTTGTAACTCTGCAGAGAGAAAAAGGTGCAGTGGATATACGGCAATGCCATCKATCATTTATTTCATTCGAATTGGCTGCACTTCTCTGCAAGTACTGACCTGCACCAGCTCTCCACCCACCAAAGCTCTCGTGGTGGTCAAGACTTTGTTGTTGTCCTTCCTGTTGAATTTACCTTTGAGCACGTCACCTTCCAGCTCCCATGTTCCCTGGTAAAAATAATAATAAAAAAAATTTAAYGAATGCCATAAAAATATTAACGATCATCTTGTAGAATGGCATCGAAAGGGTTTGAGTTGCTTCTCGACTTTATCGTCGATTGTACCAATTTAATTTTATTTTTAAAGCCACAGATCCTAATTCGAGCCGTTTCTACGGCCGCTTCAGTAACATTTTCAGCGTTTTCCCTCCACTCACTGTGAGTTCGGTGCCGTCGGCCATGGTGTAGTCGAACTGGACGCCCAGGGTGAAGTCGATCTCTTTGGTGCGGAAGGTGCTGGACTCCTTGATGTGAAACTTGTCCCCAGTTTGCTCGATGGTGATCTTCAGGTTGTCGTGTTCGGCCAACTTACGTTTCATGACGTTGATGCCTTGAGAAGTGTGACAAGTCGTTGTTATTGGTCAGCTTATGCTCAGGAAGTCAACAACAAAGTCCTACTAGTCTTAGTAGAGGTATTGCAAGGTTTTTAGGTCCCCCTCTCGTGGACTCACCTAGTTGTTCCATGAACTTGTCGTAGTTCTCGCTGTGGTCGACCTTCCATGTCCCGTTGAACGCCATAGCTGCAGGCTGGTCCGGTGGTGCTGAGGCTCTGGGAAACCCTGTGACTGGGAATGCCCTCTGCCTCCAATTTATACACAACCCCTCCCCCTCGCGCTGTCCTTACC